AAATCGACGATCAACGGGAGGGCCTTTACCTTTACCTTTACCAAAGTCAAGTTTTAATATTAAATTTCAGTGATCAAAATATATCTAGATTGGATATTGAACTGTATCAGTAAAAAAATTTTAACCAAGCATTTTTGTAGTTATTTATTAGATTTTGATCTTAAATATTATGAGAGATATAATTACCTTCATCTATAAAAGGCCACACTCAGACTTTGACATGAGCATGAATTGCAGATCACGCAAATAAAAATGCTGGAGCTGGAAGTTGAAGCTACTTCTACCTAGCTCTACAGAGTTACAGTCCATCTCCTCTCACTAGTCATGACACTTCTGAGAAAAGTGGGCAGAAAATTGGGAGTCCTAGGGCTGAGAAACTATTATGAATAAAAGAAAAGAAAGTTACCCTCTCCCCCCAAAAAAAAACCCTAAAAAAGATTTAAAAAGCATTTTCATTGCAGAAAATTAATTTCTAGAGACTGGCTTTGTGATTTGTTTCATGGTCTTTGTTGTTGGGAGAGTAGGTAGTGTATCTGTGCTAACTGCTACATAATTTGTTTTCTCTGCCTTTACTTTGAGTGAGTTTTTTCAGAAATGAGTGTTTACTCCTAGTATCCTTGTATATTTTCACAAAACACTTAGATATAAAATCTGGACACTACTCAAAACTGCTGTAAGAATAAGTAATATCATTCTGTTACCAACTAGCAGATTCCTTTTGAGATTAAATATAGTTAATGTACGACTATTAAAACCATACCATTGAGAAGATCATTTTAAATTGTATTGGTGAATTGACTCTTAAAAAGCATTTCAAGGGAAAATATCTTTACAACACTGTGTACCACAAGGACTAAATGTCCCTTCAAGTCTTATATTGTCATCGACACTGTTCTTCCTCAAAAATTTGATCTTTGATCTCCTTTCACTTAATTGTGCTGAGATTCTATACCTATAAATGACTTGTCAGTCAGAGGTTAAGGTAAGGTCTAATGAGCTCATCTTCTTAACAGTCAGTAACTTTAAAAAGAACTTAAATTGATGTCTGTGCATGTGGAATAATAGCATTCTTATATTGGAGATTAGATGTTAAATGTATGTGACAAATGCCCTATACTCTAAGACCAGTTTTCTTCTATTTTAGTACAGTTATGAAGTGAACAGATTTGGCCTATTAAGAGATAAGAGATAGTGCATCTACATATTATATTAACTCAATGATGCTCAAAGGATCATACAGGCACTGTTTGTAGTTCTCAGATGATTTTACATGCTATAGAAATAGACAAATTTATTGCAGTGTGCTAAAAAATTAGCCATAATGCAAGTCCATAATATTATAATTGCCGGGGGATAAGATTAACAAACAATGTCAAGGCAAATTAAATTAAAGCTATATTGTGCTAGTTGTTGCCACAATAATGCTGCACAAAGAACCATCCTTAAATTCAAGAGCTTAGAATAATAATTACCTATTCTTTGGTTTGTGAGTATGAGAGCCCTTAGTCTGGTTCAGGAAGGATGTCAGGCTGTGAGTTAAATATAACTGCTTAGAGCAGCTGCTCCTTAAAGTATGTTCTTCTTGAGGGAAGAGGCAGGAGAACAAGAGGTAAAATCTCGCTCTTCAAATGCATTTCAGGCCTCTCACTCTTTTCTGCTAATACCTGGTTGGTTCAAACAACACTTAGGTTACTCCTCATTGTTGAGGAAAAATAAAATTGACTCTTCTGGCAGAAAGCAAACATTTGACCCAATTGCCTAATCTAGTACATTTTTTTAATAATAACTTGGAATATGTTATAATAGGTAACCTCATGGTGGTTTTCAAGGTGGTTTGAGATTGCTTGCTTTGTACTGACCCTGCTTTAACTGAACCCAGGCAGGCCCTGCTGTCTATTCCTATCATGACACACACCAATAAACTCTATGAAGCATAGCATTTTATTATTATTATTTATTTTATAATTCTATGTATTTATTTTACTTGTAGTCTGTCTGCTGTATAGACTTTATTGTCTCCCATATCTCAAAATAGCAAACATGGCTCCTCCAACATCTGATTTTATTTGTCTTTGCTCAAGATGGGAGATGTGTGTTGAAAGTAAAGGACCAAACCTGATGGCTTTTCATTTTCTGTATTTCAAACCATAATACCCATGAGTAGAGAGAAAGAGACCCATAACTAGAGAGAAAGAGGGAATTGTCTGCCATAGAGGCAGGGGACGAGGTATGACCAGGTAGAGGGGATGGATACTGGGGACATTGGTGGTGGACAATATACACTGGTGGAGGGATGGGTGTTTGATCATTGTATGAATGAAACTCAAATATGAAAGTTTTGTAAGTGTATCTCACATTGATTCAATAAAAAAAATTCAATAGCTTCATTCGATATGCTTCTCTCTTCTTTGTAATGAAGCATGCTTCATTTAGTAATTTTTATATAATGCAACTGACCTACAAAAGGTTACCATAATCAAGGCCTTGAGGAAGACAGTTGCAGTTGGTAATTGAAAATGAAAAAGTACTGAATGTCCTAGATATTTCTATTTCAGCATCTTTTATCTCCCACTAGGAACCCTGAAATGTACCTCCTGTTTGTGTTTCAGGCAGCAGCAATCAACATGGGGGAAATCGAGCAAACTGGAATAAATATGCTATACAGGCAATTTTTATTTTCACCAAACTCTGTTGTCAGTGTGAAATGGACTCATTTCTCTGGACACTCAGCTGCATTGACTCGCAGGGGAGTATCCATTGGATAATACCATTTCACATGCACGCCAGAGTAACAAATGTCTATCATTGCTCTCCCTCTTTCCCATAACACATTCAGACATGCATACACATGTCTCAGTTATTTTTATTTTGTTGTTGAGGGGCTTAACTTTTATTTTCACTCTTGTTTTATCCTTTAAATCACTTCTCTCATCTAGTCTCTTATTACCAGTTCTTTCTTTATTAACACCTCAAATATCCCTGAGTCTAATTCATAATATTTTTTCCTCATTACTGGGGCAAACGTTTATTAGGCATCTCTTCTAAAATGACCATTGTGGCTGGAGAGATAGCACAGCAGGTAAGGCATTTACCAGGAGTAATTTCTGAGTGCATGAGCCAGGAGTAATCCCTCTGCATCGCCAGGTGTGTACCCAAAAAAGCAAATAAATAAAAAGATAAATAAATCAAATGACCATGTTTATCAGACTTAAAATATAAAATAGGGTCATTTATTTTCCCTCACGATGCTTGTGTTAAATGTTCAGACATATCACTATTCAGCCACCAGGTTTAGAACTGATCACCTTTGAGGTATAAGTCTTACTTTCAAATTAATCCATAGTTACTCCATTTTATCCTAGACTTTTATAAGGTCCCTAATCACTATTTCATTCCTTTATAACTAGATTGTTTGGTCTTTTATTTCTTATGACTCACTTGAATAAATGCCTTGTTTAAAACTTTATATTGAGAAACAAATGTCAGCCTTTTTAATACATTTATGTATATGACATAGTTATTCAATATTAAAAATGATGAGAATATCTCGCCCGCATGGCAGAGCCTTGCAAGTTACCCGTGACATATTCGATATGCCAAACACAGTAACAACAAGTCTCATGATGGAGACGTTACTGGGCCCGCTCAAGCAAATCGATGAACAATGGGAGGACCGTGACCGTGACCATAATAAATATAGTTAATATACTATCAGCCATAGTTACTTTTATATTCTTGTGATGATGAGGAATTTTAAGATCTACTATTTTTGAAACTTTAAAATGTGCAATACAGTGTTTTTACTGTAGTCACCATGGTTCCTGAGTTAAACTTCTTGTCAGCTTTAGTAAATCAGTACTGAGACAAGTTCAATATTTGAAGATACCTTTTTTGAAGAGATTGTAAATGGGATCTTTACCATTTTTCATATAACTCTTTGAAGAGATTATCAATGATCTTTGCTTAACTTCATCCTCACCAAAAAGCACAGCAATTTTCACATATCCTGGGTTCAATAAGTAATAATATAATGAAAATATTCTGTTTAATAGGTACAGAAATAATAAACACTTTAACATTGTTTATTTTTGTTTCCATAAGTACTCATCTAATGAAAATCTTCTGTTTAAAAAGTGCAGAAATAATAAATACTTTAACATTATATATTCTCCATGACTTCATCTATATTTTTACTTGTATTTTCAAATGTCCCAACTCTTAATGTTATGGAAACAAAAAGCATATTCAACTAAGAATAGATTATTGTGCTTTTGACTATCTGGAAAATTTCTCACAATAAAAAAAAATCAATCCCATTTCTATTATATTAAAGCATGTTTTTGCAGCTTCAGTTACAGGAAATGGATGTCATACCTTCTGAAGCTCTGCAAAGAGAATAATAACAATAAAAATTAACTGAAGATTATTCTGAGCAATCCAAGATGGCAGCTTTTGAGATGGTTCCCCAAGGGAAGCAGCTAGACCACTTATTTATGTTTAAACCAAAAACACCTCACTGCCAGGAGAATGAATCTCCCGGATTTCAGGCAGCCTATGGCAAAATAGGCTTCCTTTCCTTTTTTTTTTTTGGTGCTCTTCAAAGTTTAAGCTCTATAAACACACACACACACACACATACACACACACACACCACTGTACAATGACATATACATGCACACACAATTTCCTTAAATTTAAATTGTAGGTTGTTCTGATTAAACCAAGTTTCCCTGCCTTCATGCTACCAGATTTCTAATTTGAGAAATTGTATATGTATGTATGTGATTATCTCACAAATTAAAGAGAATTTAGAAGGTGACAGCACCGACGTAGTCAAGGAATTCAACCCACTATTTCTTTCTTTAACCTTCTCTGAAAAAAAAGTTGAATCCCGGGAGTATTTTTGAATTTAAGAGTGCAATGGAGGGTGACAGAACAATTGGCAGTCAGGCTGTTATAATTCCCTATTAATCAAGGACTATCTTCTTTCTTTCTTTCAGCTCAAGATGAGGACACATCCAGAGGCCCTGTGAAAAGCGAAGGCTCTGATGACTCAGAAAATTCTCCAAGTCCTGATGGTATGTCTGTGAGCTATTTGAGTTCATATAAATTATGAATTTCATACATTTTGCATATATAACTTAGATTTAGGAAAGCTCTTTAGTCTCTGAATCAACATATTCAGCTAGATCAAGGTAAAGTTTTAAAAAATTCTACTAGGAGCTAGTAAAATTGTCAGTCTTGGGGGCTGGAGCAATAGCACAGCGGGTAGGACAGTTGTCTTGCATGCAGCCAATCCGGGTTTGACTCCTAGTCATCCCTGAGCACTGCCAGGAGTCACTTCTGAATGCATGAGCCAGGAGTAACCCCTGTGCATCACCGAATGGATGTGACTTAAAAAGAAAAAAAAAAATGGCAGTCTTTTTTTCCGTGCTGGAGCGATAGCACAGCAGTAGGGCGTTTGCCTTGCAGGCGGCTGGCCTGGCCAAGCCAGGTTCGATTCCTCTGCCCCTCTTGGAGAGCCCTGCAAGCTACCGAGAGTATCTCGCCTGCGCAGCAAAGCCTGGCAAGCAACCAGTGACGTATTCAATATGCCAACCACAGTAACAACAAGTCTCACAATAGAGACGTTACTGGGCCTGCTCGAGCAAATCGATGAACAACGGGAGGACAATGCTACAGTCTTTTTTTCCCTTAAAAAGGATACTGTTTGGGGGCTGGAGCAATAGCATAGCAGTAAGGCATTTGCCTTGCACGTGGCCAACCCCCGTTGGATTCCCAGCATCTCATATAGTCCCCCGAACACCACCAGGTGTAATTCCTGAGTGCATGAGCCAGGAATAACCCCTGTGCAACGCCAGTTGTGACCCAAAAAGAAAAAAAAAAGATACTGTTTTGGAACAGCATGGAACTCAATTTAATCATACCAGGAAATGCTGAAGCCGCAGTGGCCAATTTCAAGGCTTAACTGGCTTGGAGTCTCTTGGTGAACTTCTCAGAAATATCATTTCTTTCTGTGAAGAAGTTCTTGCCCAATGTGATCCCTGCTCAGCTTTGCATTCAGGGAAACCCTGGCTTGAGTTTAGACTAAGTTTGTTCTTGGGTCTTCATCACTCCATTTCACCGTATCATACAGATGGCTTGGTCAAAAACAAGAGTGACTCTAACCGCACCTTAGAAGTGGATTTACAAAATTTTTTTCTATTTTCATTTCTTATTTGTAAAACTTCTAGTAACTCTGATTCTCAGGGATATAAACATACCCCTGTCTCTGCACAATCATGAATGCAGGATGAATAGTTTAAAAACTATTTCATTCCACTGGAGTCCATGGAGCTTAGAAGAATCATAATTGGATATAATTATGTATATGTATATATTTGAGGAACATTTCAGCCAAAGGAAAAGTTAGTATGAATTGATAATGATAAAAGTTAGTATGAATTGGCTTGGGAAAAATTCAGCCAATGCTTGATGTTACATGGTGGGTATTTTTTTTTTTCGCTTTTTGGGTCACACCCAGCAACTCTTAGAGGATACTCCTGTCTCTGTTCATGAATTACTGATGGCAATATACTTACTGGGGTACCATATGTGATCCTGGGGAATCAAACCTGTGTCAGCCACATGCAAGGTAAACCCTTATCCACTGTACTATCACTCCTGCCCCACATGGGGGTTTTAAGTAGTTTTCTGTAGTAGATATCATGCTCTGCTCTGAGATTACTGTAGCCCTGAATTGCCTCTGTTGATTATACAACATTCTCCATTAACTGATTTTTTTTTACTCAAAACATGCATTAGCCAGGAGAATAATGATTTAAACTCTACATCTATTCATTAAAAAATCACTGCATGCCATTGATAATTCAGTTCAGCCTACCTGTGCTATCTAGCCAGGTTGTATCACCATAGACAAGGTTCTAAGCTAATTCTTCAGCATGTTCTGAAGACTACCAGTCCCAACTCAGGTTCATTGAATTGAAAGGAAATAAATATGCGAAAGCGGCTGGGGAGATTGCACATAGGGCTGGATCACATTCCAGAGTCCTGTGTACAGTTCCTACCACCAGATGCCCCCCCGCCTCCAAGCACTGCAAGAGAGAACTGTCTGCCCCAGATTACTATAAAATATAAATTACTACAAATATAAATATATAAAACAAATACATATGGAAATACTAAGCTTTAGTCCACTGGTGGACATAGTATGCATATAGGCTTTGCTATGTCTCAGCAGTAAAGATTTAGGAACTTTTGGTGGCTTTTGTTTTGCTTTGGGTGACCTCCCAAGTGATTAGAAGTGAGCCCAAGAACCAGAGTCATGTGGCTCAATGCTATGGTCTTCTGGAAGTGAGATTATCAGGGCCACCCAGAAGTGTTCTGGGGCTTCCAAGGCTATACTAGTGAGAACATATGGTGTCAGAGATTGAAACATGGTTGTGTTAACCCCTGTATGTCCCTAAATATTCTTCTTGCCTGGTCTAATAATAATTTTTCCTTAGTTTATTTGACCATGAAATGCTTCTTTATAGTAGCATTTATAAAATAGATTTGGGAACTAGTGACCTGGGAACTGGCAAGAAGGAAAGGAAAAGGAATACCCTATTATTTTATTCTATCTGATCCCTCACTGATCCCAGTAAACTTAACAACAACCATAGAACAGAACAGGAAGTACACTTATTATTATCTCAATGTAAGTAGAATTGCTGCAGCTGACAAGTTTACTTTAAGTTGGGTTAGAATAGACTCACACATGATTAGAAATGTGGGGTAGTTTGCAAGTAAAAAGAGACCTAGTGATAAACTTCTTCCATGAGAGGGATGCTATTTCCTCTCATTCCCTCTTTCAAGCCTCTTTTTACTCACTCTTTCAGGGCTCTTTGGAGTGTAAAGAATAGCATTTCCAATAATTTGACTTTTACCAAGTTTTCTTGTTAAAAAAGGAAGATATCTAGGTTGTTGATTTTGTTCAAATAGCTAATGACTACCAACAGAATAAACAGAGGTTATGTATTCAAAGCAAGGACATCAACAATTGTGTTTGACCAACTTGTGTTTAGTCTATTCATGAACAGTCAAGGAAGTGAAAAATCTTTATAATTAATGCAAGGGAAAACTTGAAGGATCTCTGATTAGATATTATTGGCATGGGGAGGTATGAACTGACCCATGTAGAAGCAGGTAATTTGTTTGGGAACACACTTGCTTTCCCTGCATTGGACACAAAGACAAAATAAATTGAGGCTGGTGATCATGGACCAAATTTTTTGCCATCTGAGATGTAGAATAAATCTAGCTAGGGTTGTGGTTTGGTAGTCCAAACTGGTTGTTTCAACAGTTATAAGTCAAAGATGTTAGAGTTTAGGTGTTCTGACCACTGTTTATTTGTATATTAATTGTCTCAGTTTATAATTTGGGCTTTTGAGTTCTGATGCTTTTTAAAAAAATCAGTATTTAGGAACTAGAGAGATAATAGAATGGGTGGAACACTCACCTTGCATAAGGCCAACCCAGACTCAATTCTTGGTGGTTCCTGAGCCCACCAGGAGAGATCACTGAGCTCAGTGCCTATAGTAAACCCTAAGCACTGCCTTCACAAAAATAAAATTAAAAATTAAAAAATTCGGGGGTATGGTGCCGCCAGCAGGTCTATCTGTACCTGTGAGGTGAGTGCATCAGCAGCCTGATGGCGCCTTCAGACTTTCAGATACCCCAAAATTTCTGCTGTGCCTTTGGCCAGACCCCAAAAACTTGGGGCAAAGTTTACCAAGAAAGTAAACAGCCAAAAGTTAGGTATGCGGGAAACACACCCACAAATCACTTCTGGCTCAGCTATAAAATTGGAGGCATGGCCTCTCTGGTTCCTGATCGAACTGCTTAATGGCATGATCCCAGAGTCTCAGAAATGAATCTTGGAACCCAAAGGCTTTGGGCAGAAATGCGTCCTGTTCCTGCAGTAGGTTACTGGTGCTGGGCCACTCCAGGTGGGAATAGGTTTCGTGCCTTGGCCTGTTCTCCCTGGCGGCCTGGTGACCGCCATCCTCCAAAGGCCACTGGACAGTCAGGTTTGGGCCTGCAGTGACGAGACACACGGGGCCTCACCACATGGGGGTGGAGCCGACTCTTTCTCCCCATCCCAACGAGACCCCAAGTCGCCACCTACAAATGGCCTCTCTGGCTCCTGATCAAGCTCATTAATAGCCATGATACCGGAGACTCTGAAACAAATCTTGAAACCCAGCGGCTTTTGGCAGAAATGCATCTGAACTGCATACAAGGCAGCCACCAGCTCAGAGCTTATTGGAAGGCCAGCTATGAGCCAGTGGTAGCGGGGCAACTGCAGTCTCATGGGAAGGGGGCCGGTACCGGCTCGGCCTTCACATCCTACTGAGATCACGAGTTGCCCCCCACAAACGGCTCTCTGGCACGGCCATGGCTCCAGAGGCAAAAGGACTTAATCCAGAGCCCGGAAGCTTGCGGCAGAAAACTGAATGGACCATGCATTAAACTACACCGCCATGCCTCCCCAGGAGGGAAAATGTGTTGCTCCTTTCCACGTTTCCCCCCTGGCAGCAAGGTGACCGCCACCTCAGAGCTTATAGGAAAGCCAGGTATGAGCCGACGGTGATGGGGCAACTGCAGTCTCATGGGAAGGGGGGGCGGTACCGGCACATCCTTCATGCCCTACTGAGGTCACGAGTGACCCCCCACGAGCGGCTCTCTGGCACAGTCATAACACCAGACACACAGAAACCTATCGTAATTATTTGGCTCTTTGCAGAAATCCAAAATCATGGCTGTGTGACATTATATGATTCTCATAACCAGCTATAGAAAACAAAATATTTCACAATGCCTTTTCAGTAATTCTGATTGTTTGGGGGGAAATTCTAAACAATAATGGTGCATCTTTTGTTGAAATAATGAATTTAATCAATCTAGAGAAGAGTTAAGTAGAAATCATCTGCCTCACAGGCATTTGGAGGGGTGGGAGGGGGGGGTATACTGGGGTTCTTGGTGGTGAAAAATGAGTACTGCTGAAGGGAAAGGTGTTTGATCATTGTATGACCGAGACTTAAACCTGAAAGCTTAGTAACTTTTCCCACAGTGATTCAATAAATAAATACAAAAATAAAAAATTAAGGTGGAGTTCATGCCCAATTCAATCAGCTAATCAGTGGCTGAATAAATAGCAATACTCCTACAAAAAAATTTTAAAAAATAAAAGACAAAAATTATTGAAAAAAAATTAAAAAATTAAGACATCAGTATTTAAACCTTCTGACCCTTGAAAATTTTCTGACTGACTGCTATGTCTTCCCTGGCAATTTGTGGGAAGTGGTAATAATTATGCATTCTATTTTTATGAAGAGGCTTGCATAGTAAATTACTTTAGCACACCTTTTATTATTACTATGTGATCTGGTTAGTTAGATATTTGTCTTTCTATTTCATGGTGTCAACTGCCACTTCACTCAATAAGTTTACTACATCTGTTCTGAATCTCAAAATTGAGAACATAGCAAACCTTTTTTTTTTATGTAGGAATACTGTTATTTATTCAGCCACTGAGTAACAGATTGAATTGGGCATGAACTCCACCATAGCAAACCTTTGAGGCCTGTTGACATTGTCACTTCAGGAACTGCTTACTTCTGCATGTCCCTGATCTGTTTGCTTTGTTGTCTTATCTTTTAGACATCTATTAAAACTTCTGAATTTACCTAAGGATGGTAATAGATACTCCCAAATGTCAGCCCCCCAATATGATATAGAATAACAACTCAGCTTCTTTTCAAGGAAGAATCATGTCCTGTCTACCTCTCCCAGTAAAACTCAACAACCAAATAGCCAACAAACTAAAAATAGGTGTAAAATAGAAGCATATTAAATCATAGGCAGTTATGATATTTCTGTTTATTAATATTTAACCATTTTTATTTTACTTTCTGATTACAGTTGAAATGAATAGCCAGGTTGACAGTGTAAACGACCCAACAGAGAGCCAGCAAGATTAGCTAATAGGTAAGTGGCCCTGTGGTGGCATTTTCAATTGATTAAACAGATCATAAGAGTTGTTTGTAAATGGTGTATTGGATTTCCCTTGCTTCTGCTGAGTCCCACAGCTTGGTTTGGGCTAAACATTAAAAATCTTTATCATAAATAACACAGTATACAAAGCAAGGATTATCCTTAGAATTTTACATATTTAGGGGAAAAGATAATCCACAGCTTATTAAGTCATACAGTAACATGGTTTTCAGAACTTTGACAAGGAAACAAATTTTCAGTCTATCTTACCTCTTGGCTTCCTGGAGTGATCAAATTATTTCAGTAACCCCAAGCTGATTCTGATGCACTGCCTTTCTAGAAGCTACCTGCTGAGTTGTTTAGTATATCTGCTTTAAAGCATAAAACTAAATCTTTGCCCTAGAGATTGTGTAGAACTATTTGAGTATATTTAGGCAGAAACAAGTCTGCTTTGTGTCTTATCCTTTTAAGACTCTTTGTGGACTTGTGTGGTTGCACAAAAGTTTATTGAATTTAATGTTTCAGGGAACACAAAATAAAGTCTGAGAAAATCATGGTTTTTTTTCCAGATTAATGTCTCAATAGTTACTGAAGTATATCTAGCACACTGGCTTGTATACTACCCTTTCCCATTGTTTGAAGGCTGGTGAGAATTAGAGGAAAGAGGATTGGGAAGATGCTTACAGGCCAGGCCCAGGCTTTATGTGCAGGAGACCTAGCTCAGTACCCAGTATTTATGGTTCCCCTAGAAACTCAGAAGCAGATCAGACCATGAGTGGGGAGCAGCTCTCACATGCTGCTGTATCTGAGCCTCCTTCCTCCAAAACATAGAATTAGAGAAAGGAAGCAAAACGTACTATTCTGATTCCTGGTTTTAAAGAGTGGGGAAAGATGAAGAAAATACTAAATGGGTGGCAAGTATAAGACACAAATGTGCTGACACTGTTCCTTCCAGCCTTTACCTGCACTACCTGTATCTCGTCAGTAGATCTTTTCACTTTCCAGGAGGCCAGACTGCACCAGAATCCTGAATTCTGCCTTATAGCAGGATAAAGATGAACAATATGTGGGAAAATGCATCTAGTAATGGTCTTGGACCTCATTTAAAGCTAAAGATAATAACATTTGCTATATATATATATATATATATATATATATATATATATATATATAGCACAGGACTGCAAAACTATAAACTCACACAACATGGTCATATAAACATTACTTGTCAAAAATATGGTTTATGTATTTCAAAATAACATTGCTGAATTATATAAATGATATCATAGAGATGGTTCCAGTAAAAATTAATTAAAGGGGTCTAGAAAGAGAGTTCAGCAGGTAGGGAGATTTCTTGGCACATGGCTGGCCCAGGAACCCATAAGGCCCCCTAATGCCTGCCATGAGTGATCACTGAGCACAGAGCCAGGAGTAAGCCTTAAGCACAACACCATAGGGCCATAGGGTGTAACCCAAACAACTCCTCGAACAAAGAAAAGGTGATAAAAGAACACTAAATGTGAGTAGTTTAAATTCAGTTTTCTGCAGTATTGCATTACTTTATGCCACGTTGTTGCAAACAAGGGTTTTGACTTCCGGTCTAGAGTTCTTGTTTTTGGTTTTCGTGTGTGTGTGTGTGTGTGTGTGTGTGTGTGTTGGTGAGCGTTTGGGATTGGGGTGGGGGATATCCAGTGATGCTCAGAGCTTACTCCTGAATCTAAAGTCAGGGATCACACCTGGCCATCTCAGGAGACCATATGTAGTGCCAAAAATGGAACCCTGATTGACCACATGCAAGCTAAGCACCTACACTCTGTGCTACTGCTTCAGCCCTAGACTTCTTAAATACACAATTATTTTTCTTTGTTATCAATACATCTAGAAAGCACCAGGACATATCAGTTTTACATGGTAATTGTCAAAATATATATATTTTTAATTTTTAAGATTTTTTTTACCAAATCACTATGATAAAGACCCTTACAAAGCTGTTCATAATTAGGTTTCAGTCATACAGTGTTCCAACACCCATCCATCCACCAGTGTACATTTCCCACCATTTCTGGGAATACACCCTGGGGGTCTAAAAACGCACAGCAGAAATACCATCTGCATGCCTATGTTCATTGCAGCACTATTTACAATAGCCAAAACAGCCTCAGAGCTGGAGAAAAGATAAATGATAAAGAGACTATGGTACATCTACATAATGGAATACTACACAGCTGTTAAGAAAAATGAAGTCATTAAATTTGCCTAAAACTGGATGGATTTGGTGACTATCATGCTGAGTGAAATAAGTCAGAAGCAGAGGGACAGATACAGAATAACTGAATTTATTTTTGGCATATAAAACAAAAAATATTTTGACTACAACTCTATAATCTATTCATTTTGTTATTCAGATGAACAAGTTATGAAAACTTGCGTTTGTTTAAAGGTCAACAACAGGAAACTCAGTTTCACAAAGAAAGAACTTTGCATAAGATCACTTGCACTGACCATTGGAAGCTCAAATATTCTCAACAAATTCTTTGATAAGAACTTCCTGTTCTCTTTTAAAATTGTGATTTTTCTGAACAAGTTGTGAGATAGAACAGTATGAAACAAAAAGTTTGGTTTCCAAAAATATTTACGTAGCTGGATTTCTTGAGGTTACATTATAATTCAACCAGAAGGAGGTCTCTGTAGTTCTTTACATCATGCCTTCAGGAACACTAAAAATATATAGTAAAGAGGAATTATAAATAGAGTTCAAAGACTTAATGTGAGTGTTTAGTATTTATGTAATTTATAATTATGAAAAATGAGAGATATCAAAAATCATAGCTCTTGAAATTATGGGTCATGAACTTAAACAGAATCATGCAACTGAATATGAGGTTCACAAAAACTTATTTTAAAATAAATATATGACTGATTATAAGTAAATATTTGATTTTGTATAACTGGGGTCACATAAAAATTCTTGTGCAAAATAAGGTCATGATTTGAAAATGTTTAAAAAGAAAGTCATAAATGACAATAAGAGTATATTTCTATAAGACAGTATATATTATGAAAATTTAAAGTTACACAAGAAATTATAGGAATATAAAAATGATTATGGAGAATAAACCCTTGGTGTGAAAAATATAAATTGAATATGATTTTCAGAAAGTCCTATAAGAAGTCTTTGACTTCCAATTTTGCTCTTTCAAAACACTAAAAGCTTGCTCTTAAAAGCCAGTTCAAAAAGGGTGGGTACTTTGAATTATTTTTGGACCTAAGTGGATACCATCTGATGTGATGAACTGCCCAGCTGAGCCCAGGCAAGATAATAACATCATGAGAAATAACAAATCTTGAAGCCTAGGTACTCCTAACTCTTTCCCCTTATGTCATCCATGTCTGGTAGCTCAGGGATTGGTCTGGTCTGACATCCATCTATCCTCCAAATTTAGGTGAGCACCATGCAGAACTTGGACCTTAGTCATCTCCTTTTTAACCCTGATCAGTCATGCACCAACACATCTGGGGACCCAACCTTTTTGCCCTATGTGTTGTCCTCCAATCCTAGGCCAGGACCTGGCCCAGCCTTGATGTTCATCTAGCTTCTAAACCCCAAACCATCATGGGAAAGTGTTACAGCATATATCTCTCACTTTGGGGCAGGTGAGATGTAGCACTCCAGATTCTCAGGGTACACCCTTAAATCTTAGCTAATTAAATCTTAGCTAACTCAGTGGAGTAATTAGTTAAAAATCCTTGCTCATATTCAAATAGCACTACATGGAAAGAAATTATTCTGAACAGCAAACATACTATTAGTAGCCTTCTGGTTTAAACCACTAAACAGATCAGTTCTGTAACTGGAAATCTAAACCTCCATGATTAGCACCCATAAAACTTGGAAGACAGTGGGGAAACAAAGAAAATAGTTGCAGTCACAGATAGTGACAAAACCCCAGGCAAGCCCCAAGCCCATCAAAACTATCAGGACTGGTTGATGAGGACTCGATGTACTGGCAACAGAAATTTAAAAAGCTCAGGCAGCTAAATTAAGCAATCACTAGATGAGAAATTTAACCAACTCTAAGAAGAACTGCTTTAGAAGATGGAATTGAATTCCATACAAATGGAATTGAAGAAGCTAAAGTGCACACCAGCAAGCCATAATAGCAGAATTTCATGGGGGAGAATTATATAAACAAACTTGAAGACAAAATAAAAGCCCACACTGATAAGAAGTTAAAAAAGAAAAGAGAAGCCAACAAATGGAAGAAATGTAAGGTACTTAGTGAACAATGACAAGAAGAATAATTTCCAAATTATAGGGATACTGGAAGGTAGGGAATTAAAAAAAAAGTATAGAACAAGTGATGAGAGAGATAATAGCTGAGATTTTTCCCCATGCTCCGGAGGGAGGCAGCTGCACAGTTTCAAGAGACCTAAAGAGGATCAAACAAAACAAACTCAAAACAGCACCATGACACATAGAAATGAACTTGGCAAAAACCGAAGAGAGAGACAAACTTACTAAAGCAGCAAGAGAGAAGAAAATTGTAAATATAAGGTAAATAACATAAGAATCACAAGATATCTCTAATATGAAATGGTACAGGCAAGGAAAAAGAGTGGAATGACATATTCAAATTACTGAATAAAAAGTCTTTCAACCTAGAGTCTACTATCCTACAAAGTTCTTATTTAGGTGGTGAGAAAGAATGGAAACATTCTCAGTAAACAATAACTGGAAACATTTATGATAACCAAACCAGCCCTGCATGAAATAATGAAATATATAAACCAAATAGCCAATTCTAGAAGCAACAACCCTACACAGTAAAATGGCAACAAAGCCTTACATAGTAATAATATCCCTGAATGCTGAAGAACTAAAATCTCCCAAGAATGGCAGAATAGATCAGGAAATAAAATCTATCAATTTTCTGCTTATGGAAAACACATATAAAACAACAGGATGAACACAGGCTCAGAATAAAAGGATGGAA